CAAACAGAAATTCAGAGAAACAAATTGAGCTCACTTAAATCAGGACTGGAAATTTCCTCTGCTAGGATTTTTGCATAGATTCAAGTTTGACTTATCACTAAAGATTGGCAGATTCTTTGTATTCAATCGCTCACTTTGAAGTTTTACATGCGGGATAAAGCATTGGCACTGTGGTCTCATTGTAATCTTGTGCTGATGGTTGAAAGCTGAATGGTACAGCCATAAGTGATGCAAGCTTTTGCTCTGGGTAGATCACATGTACAGTCATTTGGAACAGAATATGAACAGTCTACCATGACATGGATGTACATGTACATGTATTCTAAAGCACAGCATTGTGTTGTGCTAGACTTGCCTCAGTCCGTTCTCCGTCCACATCATGTGGGTACTAATGAAACCTGTGCCTGCTGAGCCGAGTTTAGCTCAGATCATATCGATTACAATGCAGGCTACGACATGAGTCGTGTATGTTGTTTTGAGCAGAGGCATTTCGTATCAAAACTGTTATTATCGGTAGCTGTTTGACCGTTTGGCTGTAAATCGCATCAGCACTATCCGCACTTAGTAAAGTCCAGATTGCAATATTTTTGTAATTTTAAATTCAATACTATTTTGGATTTTGGAGTCTGCTCAGGCAGACATCAGTGATTTAAGCTCATCACAGACTGCGGCAAACATTAGAATTACTATGCCTTGATCAAGTTTCATGTTAAAACAATGCTGCTTAACGTTTAGCAAGTTTGTTTGATTTTTTTGCCGTTTGATTTCAGGAAAAACCTTGGTGATATTTGGTAGTGGCGTAGCTTCATATTTATGGGGGAGGGAGGGACCTAACACTGAAACAATTTTTAAATTTTCATTATTTTGGCCTGAATTAAAGGCTGCCCTGAGCTCTCTTGAATTTGATGCATGAGTCAACTGAACTAGATCACTTGATTTTTGTGTTTTCGATTTTTCCAAAAAAAATCAGCTCCTCTAAATTGTGACATGCATACTGGATGAAAAATTGACATCCACTGAGGAAATTTCTGCAAGAAGCATTCATTTCAAAAATTGACACAAGGCATTTCTGGCCAACTCTTAGAATCCATAATGGACTTTTATCTTAAAAAGTCAAATTGATATTTAAAACTTTCCAAAATTTTCAAGAAATCTCAAAATGTCTGTGCCTCATATTAACATGCAGAGTTTATTGTATTTCAAAACGACTCATTGACAAGTGTTTTTTTGGTCAAGGAATACATGCAGATCAAGTGATTGTTTTTTCTGCAACGTATAGCAAACTCAAGTGACTTTTCATCTTTATCCTTTCATCATTTTAGAGTTGTGTGAACAACTGTTATTTTTAACATTTCCACATGCTCATGCAGCTTTGGCAGGATTGGTTGACTGACGTGTGGATTTAGTGGACCACTGACTGCCTGTCTCCTATTGTGGTTGATCAACTAACACATCAACCGGTAACTGATAGTCTGGCCCCCTCCCTCCCCCGTGACCATTAGCTACGCCACTATGCATTGCCATAGACTGAAGACCATCTGTACATTACTGCCTTGTTTAATGCAGACTACACCATACTCCTAAGCCATGAGATACACATTTGGGTTTAACAAGCAACACATGAGGATGTACCAGTGCATGAATTCATTCTACAAACTTCAATTAAACTTACCATGGAAGTTGTTGACAGGACTGGCTCCCCGTGTCTGATGTCACAGTTTCTGTTTAGGATACTGAGAGGCAGATTGGTACCCAATCTCCCAGGCCATTCACTCCAATTGATCGAGGGGCTCACACCCATTTTCGATTTGTCCCATGTTTAATTTGCCGCTAAGGTTTTTTCTTTTGGGGAGTTGATGAATGGGAGAAATATCTACACAATTTCTGGATGGAATTTAGCTCATTCTGCAAGCGCCAATTCTTATTTTTTTGAATTGTGGAGTCCGTCAAGTGAGTTTTTCATCCTTGCTAGCAAGGATACTTACATGTAATTTCAAAGAATTTCACAACGTAGAAACAAACGTCTGGTTGTTTGTAACCATATTTCCCTTGGGAATGTGAAATGAAAATCTCCCTTATTAAGTGAATCTCTGGCAGACTTGACTCCAGTTTTGCACAGTATACTTTCCATCATATTTAAGGTAGTTTCTCCCAGACATGTTTGTTTCTCCCTTCTTTGGACAAATTCAGAGCGAGTGTTTTTTGCCCCTCTATGACGTGAGTGAATGGCCTGGATACATCATCCACCCAGCAATCTAACAGCATGGTTCTCCCTCTCTGCACACCAGGCATTTCTCTACTACAGTTTTGAAGAGTTTGGCTACCAGTTTTTGGTTTACTTTTTTACAAATATCTTTTGATTTTGATGCAAAAAACCCTACATGTACGCATAAAGATGATGACACTTAAAAATTTGAATTTTGTTTCACAGAAATGTCCAGAAGTATCTTTAGACTTTCTTATTTTTTTCATTATAGAAATTCAGTCATATTTAGAATTGTTTGTTCTCTCAAAAACCAGGATGCGATTTTGTTAATTCGATATTTTTTTTGGTGTCAACTTTTGTGAACTTCAAATTTAATTGTTTGCAGTTTACTAACTGTAAATTCCGACTGTGAAAAAGTTCCAAATACGACAAATTTAGAATGTGTGCATGCTACCAAAACCATGAATATACAATTCAGATGCGATTGTAATTTTTGAAGAAGCTTGCACCATCTTATGAAATGACTTCATTTGGTGAAAACACCTCCCTTTGAGGTGAAATGAGCAAATGCAAAACTAGAATTTCAGAGTTATACTGTGGAAATTACCAAGACAATTGTGGCCAAACAATTGTTCAAACATCATACGACACTGTCAAATATCCTAGAAAGCCCACAACAAGTAACTGATGCTGAATATTTCATTATTTTTTCGGATCACCGGCAATGATGGCTGAGAACTCTTGACATGTTTCAAGTGAGCAATGGCGGAGTTAGACACAGAAGTGTTCTCTTGAGTTGCCATTCCTGGAGCAGTGGACATGTACATCTGCTTTGTAGACAAACTAACCAATTGCCAAAGTTTAAAGGATCCTTACCATGTTGCAGTCTTCCGAGGTATCCACAATCACCCAGGGTGCAAGATTTTCGGGGGAGCTGCATACATCACCAACAGTCAATTCACAAGCCGATGCAGATAGCGGGCAACCACCAACCTGTCAGCGTCTGCGGGCAGGGGACACACGTGCACGCACCAGGAGGGCCTGCATGTGGCTGGGCTTTATTGGTTTTCATTTAGAGTGCCTGATGGTAAAACGCAATAAATGGGTTATTACCACATGAATAACATAATAGATGTGAAAAGTATAATCAGCACTGACGTACCGTTAGAATGCACGATTTTTGCTCTATACAGTTTTGTTCCAAAAGTAAAAATTGCTTTTAAAAAAAACACAACAACAAACATAACTTTTTCTTGGTATTTGTGAATATTCAAGGAAGTACAAAACATAATTAGCATGCTTCGAGAAAATCTGAAAATGCTATCGAACGATCAATTTGAATGAAAAAAACAAGCTCAGAAAGAGCTTGATTGCGCGCGGACGCTTTAACTTTTGCAAGTTTTGAAGATTTGCTTGGTTTTTTTTAACATACTGTTGTTTTTGCGGCTGCAATTGTGAATAAGTTGTATCAGTATCATCAGTGCTGTTATACACTAAAATACCAGGTGCAAGATCGGTGAATGAAAACAGAATTGTTGATAAAAAAACACATTAAATCTGATAAAAATGGTGTCTTTAACTTTGAAATTTAAAAATTTTATCATGTGTTCGAAACTGCATCAACTCATCCTGAAACAAATAATTTACAAATTTGGGTTTTGGAAGAAGCCGAAAGTGTTCCTTGGTCTGGACAGGGTGGGAAAATTAGGACCTTTTCGGAACATCGTTGACCAAATAGTAATAGCTTTTGTATATATGGAGATGTTCTTTTCATGCAACATTTGTGAACGAAGTTTAGACGCTGTTCAAGCTTTTGCAATTCTCCATGCGCATGTAAAACTGCTGCAATGGTTTTCTTTTAAAAGAATCTACTTTTCAAAAGAGAACTAAAGAATTCTTCACCAATCTTGCACTGGTTGTTTTACCATTCAGGCAAACGTTTTAAAAAGTTTTAAATATAAAGATATAAGTTAAAAATTTCAAAAAGGGAACCAGCCCTCATAATAGTCTCCATCTCACTCTTCATGAATTAAAAAAATGTCCGCAAATGCTTCACTATTTTTTTTCAATTATGTCAAACAGAAAATCTCATGATTGAAAAGGCTTTAAACAATCATTTCTACAAAGAGTAGATTTACTTTTCATTGATTTTGCTTTTTGATTTTTGGTTTTGAATTGGCCTGGTTCTGAAAAAGCTGGACTATTATATTCAGAAAGTAAGTGATAGTTAAAACCAATCATTTTAAGGAGGAGTAGATTTCATTTTCATTAATTTTGGTTTTGGCTTTTGGCTCTGAATTGAGTGAGTACTGAGGAGGGCTGATTCGGAAAAACAGGACGGGGAACATTATTGAATTTTTCAAAAACATATTTGACTGTGCGTTCCAGTTGATGAATAATAAGTAGCATTAGGATCAATTTGACCCCGTTGGTGATTCTATGCCGCCTCAAAATTGGTGATATCAACTCCAAATTGTGACAGATTCTATGTACATTTTTTTGTAGACACTGTGCTTCTAGTTTTGTCTTTTAAAGCTGAGGATTTCTTTCTGGCAGGGTCTTGCTTTGGCCTTGAAAATGTCCAGACCCATTCATTCTGTATTTTTATCAGAAACTCTGAAAGGTTGACGTTTTTGCCATGAATCCGGAAAGACTTGTGAATAATAGTTCAAAATTTTTAATTCTTGGCCGAAAATATGCAACAATAAGATTATTTCTGTGAATTTGTCGCCAAGCCAAGCAACTGTTCCCCGTCACTGTTTCTTTTCTTTTTTTCCTCTTAATTTCTTTTGTGACAGATCCTCAGTTGCTTAACAACTGCTTCCTCCATTTTTTAAAAGTTCAGTTCATCAGTGAAGAATACTGGAAAGATTGTCCAACGCTGATGAAAGTCCACAGGGGAAAACAGCATAGATTGTTCCTTGCACATTCAGGCACATTGAAGTTGTTTTTCCCCTCAAGTTGTCATTTGACTGATCCACAGTCATCAGACAAGTCCTTCCTCCGTTTTTAAAGTTCAATTCATCAGAGAAGAAAAATGGAACGACGGTCCTAATCTGACAAAAGTCCACAGAGGAAACAGCAAAGTTTGTTCCTTGCATATTCAGGCACAGTGAAGTTCCCTGAAGTCTGAGTCATTCTCAATGATTCTCTGCAATCAGCTTTCAACAGCTTGGTTCTCATTGTCCCTGTCCAATCCTTGTTCATGTTGCTGCTTTTTACTGTTGGACACTTTGGCGAGAGTTCCAGCGACGATTCCAGCAAAGATGATGGCGCCAAGTCTCCGGTTGGACTGGAACTTGTTCCAGCAGTCTTGAGGATTATGGATGTCCACCGTCCACACCTGCAACAAAATAAGACATCAAACAAATTATGAACTCAGATATTCTGCGCTTCAAAGATTTACAATTAGAAATTGTCAAATGACATATACGGTCAGAAGTAACAGGGCATGAATGCTGACAAAGGGCTACCTTAGTCAGAGTTCATCAGAGTAGCTTGTCACTTGACTTGAGACAAATTGACTTGTGATTGACTTGTGATTGACATGTGATTGACTTGTGATTGACTTGTGATTTACTTGTGATTTACTTGTGATTGAAATGTGATTGACGTGTGATTGACTTAATATTGACTTGATATTGACTCGTGACTGACGTGTTGACATATGATTAAAATGTGATTGACCCATGATCGACTTGTGATTGACTCATGATTGACTTGTGATTGACTTAATATTGACTTGATATGACTCGTGACTGACGTGTTGACATATGATTAAAATGTGATTGACCCATGATCGACTTGTGATTGACTCATGATTGACTTGTGATTGACATGTGATTGACATTTGATCGGTAAGCGATCGACTCGTGATTGGCTTTTGACTGAATTAGGATTAACTTAGGATTGACTTGTGACTGACATGTGACTGACATGTGACAGACATGTGATAACCTGACTACAACTCCAACCAGCCATGCTCCTCACCTGGTTGCCAATATGAGCAGCAGTTAGAGCCACAGCGAGGTAGTATGCCACAGTCTGCTCAGCCATAGCACCAACGAGCATCAGACCAGACACCATAGCTGCACCAAAGCCTGTCAACCAATACTTGGTGTTGTCTCCCATCAGGATGGAGGTGGAGCCTAGACCAAGGGCCAGATCATCTCTCTTGTCCTAGAAAGTCAGAAACAAAAACGTGAATAAGAGACTAGTGTATATATTGCTTGTCAATGTCCAATTACTTTGGGAACCATTGCATTTGTCACACTTGAGTTCACACAAAATTAATTAAAGATTTGCCCTCCAATGTTTAATTCAAGTGGTTCGCAAAATAGTCCCATCTCTTTTTCAGTTTTAACTTGCATACGTTAATTGGTGTTGTGGGTCTCAGTTTTACCTCCCCCACCCAAAAAAACAAGTAAATGAAACTGCAAAATTCAAGATTTTATCAAGTGTAATACAGAGGTACGTGTACCAACCTGATGCCCGTATATGGTATCGTAGACAATGGTCCAAGCGATACATGATGCATACAAAGGCAGAACAATGCTCCAGTCACATGACCCACGGATAGCTGCATAGCCAATCAAGGCACCGAAGTTGAACGTCAGACCTAAGAGAAAAAGACAATTGAACAACTATCCATAAATATTGACTCATTTATTGATTCTAATGTAGTGTCTCTTTTTCAGATTTGGAAAGCGCGTTCCCTGGATAAATTTCAGAAATGTATAGACCATGACTGTTTTTTTTGGGTTTTTTTTAATTTGTCAAAACCGTACGGCCAATTGAAAATAAGGAATCATGCAATAAAAGAAGGGCTCTGTGAACGTTTGACTTGAAATGTGAAACTTTTTAAGAATTTTCAAATAAACCACAATTTTAAATAAACTACATTTTGAAGGGAAAAGTGAGATTCTGGCAAGAAATTCCACAGTAATAATGTACAAGGAAGAAACGTCACGATAATAGTCCCTTGGAGCACCAACTATATAAGGATTAGAGGGGCAGTATATTATGTACAGGGGATGGCGATATGCAATGGGAGATCGGCACATTGAAGGTCTTTTAAAACTTGACAAGTTCTTACCAAGGAAGACTTGCGGCCAGTAGGTGAACCTCTTCATGAGTGGGTAGACGATGATGGGTGCCACGGCAACGCATCCCAGAACTATACTGTAGACAGAAAAAAAACAAAGACACATCATGAACAAATGAATTGATCGTGGCTTTGCAGTGATGTAGCCTGAGTAGTTGGTGTTTAAATTTCCAGTAGGGAATCCGAGTATTTGGACAAAAGGGCATTTTGAACCTGTGGCAAGTGTTCCAAGTATTTTCAAAGGAATATCGCCTTAGGTCTTTAACCTTTCATCGACAAGGACACTACTGGCATCTTTTAGCAAATAAAACTAATTCCTTCAAATAAGGCTGGAGTCCTACCATGTTTTATCTCAGTATTCTAGGGGACTTGGAAAATGACCTACAAGTGCAAGACCAAAGTTTTGACCCTATCTGCAGATGTCAATAACAGCTTTACCCCTTACTCCCTATGGTATTTTGTTCAGAGACCCTACTAATAAACGCAGCAACATGCAACACTTGTCAAAATGACAAGCCTGCCCAGTGCAGCAAGATCCATCAGGCCAAAAGTCTCAAGGCTAAACTGCTTTAGAGTCCGTGGTCACCGAATGCAGCGGGATGCAACTGTGGCATTGTTCAATGGGACTAGCTCTCATTGTTTCAGAATTAGCCATTTATGCACTGGTGTTGATGGCTCAACGTGGCAAGGTCCCACAGACTTCTACACCTGATACATCATGTTGCATCTCACAGGGTTAGGGTTAAGGATACACAAAATGACCGTGACAGGCCAAGGATATGTTCCTAGTGGACTCACCAGTATGTGTTCAGAGTGAGTAATATTCCCAGCGCTACGCTAAGCTGGGCTGCCAGGAACACCAATGCCTGACTGCGACTGATGTCTCCTGATGCTATGGGTCTTGATCGAGTCCGCTCAACCTTTGATCAACAGAAAAAAAAGGACACAGTTTCTATCAAGAACAAGCTACAACTGAAACTGACTAGGTTAACTTTTACTCTAACTATCCCTGCCATGTGTTAGCAATTAATCAATTTGTCAATGCTTTCTTCAAGGGGTGCTAGTCAGAGGCCATACATTTGAAAACAAAGAAATCCTTTCCAATGCTGTACATATACTCACAGATTTGTCAAAGTCCCTGTCCCACATATCGTTGATGGTACAGCCAGCTCCTCTGACCACCACAGCTCCCAGACCACACAGACCCAGCATGTACAGGCTGGGGAAGTGACCTGGGTCTGCTGCTAGAGCGATGCCCCAAGCACTCGGCCAGTAGCACAACCACGTTCCTGGAATGAAAAAGAAATGCACAGAACATCAGGATTCTGCAGTTTGTATAACTGAATGACTGCTGGCTTTGAACAAGGCTTTAGGTATCTGTAGACGTTCAAAACAAGCTTAGCTTAGGTGTAAGTTAACTTTGCTTAATCCCACCAACCTGTACTAACAACCTCTACCATCGAGGTACTCTCTTTAACCCTTCAGTCACTGTAGCACCTTAATCCGTCCTGCCCCTGCCTATTACTCACTGTCGCACCCAAAACCGCCCAAGCACTCTATAGTTGAGTGGTCGGGCACAACCCGACCACTGTCTAGAATTGTTCCGATTAATTGGCTTTTTTCGCAAAATTTGCGAAAAAGCCTTTCTTTTTGTTCTGATTTTTTTCTTTTCTTTTTGGCGCCAAAAATCCCATAGACTTTGTACACGATTTTTCTCTGCAGCACTTTGGGTATTAATCTTTGTCAGACATCATTCAAAGTTGGCATAAGCATAGTCCCTATAGCACAGATGTGTCCCGAAGATTGACGTCATGGTGACGTCATCGACTAATTTATTACAAAATTGTCGATTTTCAAAGGGGATTTTCGACTCTTTGCCAGTAATTCATTTACACCACTCTTTGTCCAAGCAAAGACCCTAATTCAAACAACATTGTGTGATGATGAAGTCATGATGACGTCATCCGGTATATATTTATAGGCAATTAAATTGTGACACTTTTAATATCTAAAAATGCATAAGAAATCAACCGTACGCGTCCGCAGCATTCTGTTGCCGGCAAGTGATAGAGTAGGTTGAAGTCTTTATTTCATTCAGTGTGCGTGCAATCATGTGACCCTGGCTTCCGGTCGAAAAAGGCCAAAACCGGAAGTGTCTTATTATTTGAAAATGGTAATAGATATGAACTTGCTTTCAACGGTGTTAGTCTCTTGGCTAAAGTATTCTTCAAATCATCTACCAATGACGTCATGCAATCTTCGAGCGCCCTCTAGCGACAGGTTGAAAATTTGCAAAAATGTATTTTGAATAGATGTCTGTGGCGAAGTTTGTCGGAATCGCCTAAATATTGGTGTATATGATGACCTTGACCCACTTAAGACGTGTGCGAAGTTTTAGGCGAATGATGTCATCAGACCGGAAGTTATAATAAAAATACCCTTTTTCATTTGAAAATTCCTGAAAAATCAACCATGGCAGTTTTTATGTTAGTTTTTACTTTAATTGTCGATTTAAGGGTACATGTAGGTCTAAAACATTTCAAAGCTTCGAGGCAATAAGCGAACTCGGTCATGCCCTGAGCACGCTTAAAACTTCAGGTTGACAATACCTCTGCTCTAAAACATGCACAGAACGTCTATATGTACATACACGTACATGACGCATACATCCTATGTCAGTCAGCCTGCAGAGCACGTGTTGCCGAGGTCAAATCCTGTCCACATCACAGTGACCGTTTTAGCCGATTTCCGGCTCACTTTGACAGATTTTATGTTCATGCATGCACATAGTCAGGGACGTATAATAAAAAATCATAATGCCGAAAAGCCCTATGTTACGTATTTAAAGGTGCAGTTTTTTCTGCAGTGGGATTTTCCACAAGTCTTTTCCTATACAACACTGATATCTTACTGAGTAGTTATGAACTTCAGCCGAGAATTACTATGAGAAGGAAAGAGAAATCGTATTTTTTTCGCGCTATCATTCGATTGAACATATTCCTAAGGGTCAGAATATCAAGTAATATTTCATAAAAATGTTTCAGTTCAAAGGCAAATTACAGATTTAAAGGTGCAATTTTTCTGCAGTGGGATTTTTTTTAGCCCGTTAACTTTGTACACGTGTTAGCCCATTGACTTTGTACTCGTTTTCAAGCCACCATTTCTATAACTTGGCGATCTGGAATCGTCATCAATGTTACAGCCAAGGAAGACCCTCATACAAAAATTATGCCAAGACTATGACGTCATGATGAAGTCATCACCTAATTTTTTTTATTGATTTTTGAAAATTTACGTGCATATTATGAAGTCCTATATCTACAGAACTGTAAGTCTGATTGGGTTGAAACTTGGTATGTGGCTAGACCGGGATGTGTTTTAGGTAAAACAAAATTAGGTGACGCCATGATGACGTCATCCGGAGATTAAACATGAATATTTGAAGTTTTTGACCTTTTGGCCATATCTCATGAACGTAACATGCAAAATTCAAAATTCTTTGTGTATTTGGTCTGTTACATGTAGGTAAAAGGTATTTGCACAAAATTTTGAAAAAAATATCTGACATCATTATGACATCATAAAAATGCGATTTTTCAAAATACATATAAGGAAAGGTCTGACTGTCATGAAACTTAGTGGGTAGGTAAATAATGGTACTAGTATACAAAGTTTAAAGTGACGTCACGATGACGTCATCGTTTGGTTTTTACAATTTTTAGATATTTATAATTTTATTCTGCTTCCACAAATTGCACACTTTCTTTCATCGGATTGACATTAAACTTGGTTCAAACCAAAATCACAATGACAAAATGTGCATTGAGAAGGATCTTAAGGATGACGTCATTGCAGGGCAAGTGACATCATTTGATAAAATTATACTTTAGGAATTATTCTAAGCGTTTTGAACAACCTTTAACTGCATGAAGCACTCTGAAAAGTGAACTATTTGTAAAATGCGAAAAAGCCCTGTGTTCTGTTTGCAAACAGACATACAGCTCTAGTCTTTCTTTCTTTCTTTCTTTCTTTTTTTTCTGGACAATACTTCTCCGCGGGTTTACTCCTAAACCGTTCAAGATATAAACTTGTAACTTCGAACACATATCGACCCTGATCCCGAGTAGTGCATATTGTCCTGACGTCATGATGACGTCATCAGGTATCAAATTACAAGCAATTTAGTGTTTCTATTTTTTAATCATTACAAATCGATATAAAATCAACCGTGAGAGACCGGAACTTGTTTTTAACGGCAGTCAATAGAATAATACTGGGTCTTCAATTTACTTCGTGGGTGTCAAATCATACGACCCTTACTTCTGGTCGAACCCGGAAGTGCCTTGTAATTTAAAAATGGTAAAAGATATGAACGTGCTTTCAACGATGTTACATGTAGCCTTCGGCAAGAAAGTACTTTTCGAAACTGTAACCGATGACGTCATGGAATATTAGAGCGCCCTCTAGCGGCAGGTTGAAAAATGTCCAAAATGCATTTTGAATAGATGTCTGTGGCGAAGTTTGCTGTAATCTTTTGAAAATTGGCATATATGATGACCTTCATGCAAATAACACATGTGTCAAGTTTGAAGCCGATGACGTCATCAGACCGGAAGTTGCAACGAAAAGACTTTTTATTCTTCAAAAATCGCTAAAAAATAAATCGTGAGAGATATAATCTTAAATTGTCCATTAAATGATGGATTAAACATTGGCGTCAATTGTGCCAGGCGCGTGGCTTGTCAAATTGTTCACACACGTGACCCGCCGCCGACAAAAATACCCTAACGGTAGTCCGTCGCTCAAAAATTAAATGAAAGCGTAGAGCTGGGTGTGCGTGAGTACACTGCATGTACATGTACATGTACATGTACATGCATTCAGTGCAGATCCATTATTTCATCATCGTCATGCTTGTTGGAACGGGGCCAAACACGTGGCGCGTAGTCTTGTGCTCAAGACGCTTGGTCTTCTATAACAAATCCCATAGACTTTGTGCACGATTTTTCTCGTCAGCATTTTAGCCATAAAGCACACTCATTATGACATTGAAACTTAAGATAGTCAAAGAACATATAGCAAAGGTCGTTGGCGAAGATGGACGCAATGATGACGTTATCATGTGATTTATTATGAAATTTTGAATATTTATTTAAGCCCATTGACTTTGTACGCAGTTTTTCCACTTTGTGCCCTTCTTTTTCAAGGGACCTTTTTGGCCACTTTTCAATGGGGCATCTTCATCAAAGTAACACCAAGCAAAGACGGAATGCTAAGATTGTGCCAGAACAATGATGGCATGATGACGTCATCAGGTGTCACGTGACAAGCAATTAAACTTTGATATTTTTTTATCTTTAAAAATCTATATAAAATCAATAATGAGATCTGTCGTCTTGCTGTTTGCGGCAAGTGATAGAGTAAATTCAGGTCTTTATTTTTTAACGTGTACGTAAAATCACATGACCCTTGCTTCCGGTCGAAACCGGAAGTGGCTTATTATTGGCTTATTATTTAAAATTGGTAATAGATATGAACTTGCTTTCAACGGTGTTAGTCTCTGGCCAGACAATATTCTTCAAAACTTGTACCGGTGACGTCATGTAATTCTCGACCGCCCTCTAGCGGCAGGTTTAAGAATGTCCAAAATGCATTTTGAATAGATGTCTGTGGCGAAGTGTTTTGTAATCGCCTGAAAACTGGTATATATAATGACCTTCATGCAAACAACACATGTGTGAAGTTTGAAGTTGATGACGTCATCAGACCGAAAAGACCTTCTATTCTTCAAAATAAATCAATCCTGGGAGATATAATCGTGAATTGTCCATTGAATGATAGCTTAAACATTGGCGTCAATTGTGCCAGGTTCGTGGCTTGTCTAATTGTTCACACACGTGACCCGCCGCCGACAAAAATACCCTTATAGTAGTCCGTCGCTCAAAACTTCAATGAAAGCATAGCGCGTCGCCGTTCGGCCACGGCATAGGGCGCGCACGCCCGCTGAACGTAGCCTGGCTTTTCATTTGCTTTTCGCGGGCGTACATGTAGGCCTACATGTACACATGTCCAGTTATTAGTACGTAGACTCTGAGAAAGTCTGAGGAGAAGTGCTGTTGTCACGCGTGTACGACTAAAATAGATCGCTGCGCGCGTCTTCGTCTTGAAAAAAGGCAAGACAGAAAAGCGCGCATGCGCAGTTAATGTGTCATAACCGGGGTTAAGCTTGTACACTGCATGCACACTGTGATTCGGAAAGTAGAATGTGTGCACTTACGCTGTTTGTGGCGCGGCCCGGAAAGGCATCCTCGTACGAACTCTGAGCGGCGATTTGGCGAATATAAATGTTTGTTTCTGTTTATAAATTTACCTTCGGATAGTAAGTATTATTTCGGTTTTTTTTCAGGCAAATGGTATTGGGAGTTCATGCTGAAAACAGCTTACCATTTAAAATGGCTCCAGTTATGGTCGGACACATGAATACATGCAAATCAATGAACATGCATCCTCTCCGAATAACATCAGTATTCACTACCCATATTCACTTTTTTTACGTTTAAAAAACAATAAATACATACTGACATTGATCACTACCCAAAAGAAACATTTTTAAACAAAATGATTAATAATAATTTTCGTTATCCTTTGTACATGTTCTTACATAAAAAAATATTCATAACTTAACTGGACAATGTTTCATAAAATAGTTGTCTACCCGACCACTCTGCGTTTGTAACAACAAACGCGAAGCTCTAGTTACAATTATTTTTCAGTGAATAAACACAATGTAATACAATGTAGTACATGTGCTAATAGGTTAAACTCTCAGTTGATTGATTTTTATGACACTTTAGATCAACACTCTGTGCATGAAATGTACATAGGCATGTGTGGATCAGGGTCATAAGCTCCCCACAATATCTAGCATGTCCTCCATTCTAAGAGGTGAATTATCAACAGCACCCTAGGATTGGGTTCTGCAATTCTGGGTACAAGTGAGCAGTCTTTCGTCGAAGGAGACATTTCCCCAAACCTTGGCTTCTTCGCTAACTTCTGCTTCAAGAATCATTTTGTAGCCTTTGATATAAAAACAAAATGAAACTAGAGATCTATGTGTGTTTGCAACAGAACATAGGGCTTTTCCACATTATGATTTTTTTTTTATCAATAACACGTCCCTGACTATGCGTGTACAACGTTTCAATAGTATCAGACCTATGGTTCTTTAGATATATATTTTAAAATATGCAACTTTAAGACTACGTCACAAGACCCGTGATCATCATCGACTCCCAACAGAGTGCGCTCGAATGATGCATGACGTTACTGGTCAGATTTTTGAAAAACCCACCCTTGCCACACACTTACATCGTTGAAAACAAGGGTCACATGCAAGGGTCACATCCGGAAGGAAGGGTCACATGCTTTTGCATGTAAATAAAAAAAATGAAGACCCTGGATTATTCTATCCAATCCCGTAAAAGCAAAATCAGATCTCTCAAAGTTGATTTTATATTGGTTTCCAAAGATTAAATCTAGAAATCTGTGGTTGCGTGTTATCTGATACTTGATGACGTCACCACGACGTCTTCATTACCGGAAGGCTCGAGAGCTATGCTAACTGTGCTATTTGAAGCAAACATCTGGTTTATAACTCTGGAGGTTGATTTTGCTGCAATTTTTTTAATGTTTAAAGATCTTTTCATACCGGTCTGATGACGTCATCATTTTTTTTTCGCGCATAGGTGTTGTCTGCATTGAGGTCATCATATACACCAATTTTGAAGTGATAACTGCAATTTTTGCCACAGACATCGACTGAAAATTCATTTACAACTGTTTTTAACCTGCCGCTAGAGGGCGCTCTAACATGTTATGACGTCATCGGTAATTTTTTGTATGATCTGGCCACAGATTAACACCGTTGCAAGCAAGTTCACATCGCTTTCCAATTTTAAATTATAAGGTACTTTGAGTTACTTCCGGTTTGGACCTGAAGAAAGGGTCACGTGATTTTGCTCACATGAAATAAAATGAACATCCTGGGTTATTCTATTAATTCCCGCAAACGTCAAGTTCGGGCCTCTCACGGCTGATTTTATACTGATTTTCAAAAATTTAATCTATTAACCCTAACCCCCTAGGCCCTTGTTGCTTACAACCATCCTCAATCCTCCAAAATCCTCCAAAAATTTTCAACTCCGCCTAAATTTTTCAAAATTGTCAGACAGTCCTGCCTCAAAATGCATTCATCCTCAATCCTCCAAAATCCTCCTCATCCCAAAACTTTGCACTCGTGTTTAAGTGAAGGATAACCAACGCCAAATCCTTCAAAATCATCAGACAGTCCTGCCTCAAAATGCATTCATCCTCAATCCTCCAAAATCCTCTTGTGCTTCATTCACCATTCATCCTCAATCCTCCAAAATCCTCATGTGCTTCAATCACCATTCATCCTCAATCCTCCAGAATCCTCATTTGATTCAATCACCATTCATCCTCAATCCTCTAGAATCCTCCAAAACCACCAGGAGGATTTTGGAGGAGTGAGGTGGGTTAGGGTTAATCTTTAACGTGACGTCACGTGACCCATGATGCAGGGGTTTTCCTTAACTTTTTCCTTTACTGGCCGGCCGGGCCAGTAAACCAGAGTTTTCACTGGCCCGCAACCTTTTTCACTAGCCCACATGTTTTAATAGTAACTTTCAATCAAATCACCATAAGCATTTTTGATAACTTTTTTGATAATAAATTATGCAATATGAATACAATCGGCAATTATCTTAATCATGTACATAATATTGCATGTAGTTCCTTTTTAAGTGATGTCAATGTTTCTTTAATCGTCCATGCTTTAACATAGAGCAAGGCTTTAATTAACAGGAATCAAATAGGGGGAGAAATTATAATCAAAATTTATGCAGTGTGCTTCGTTCCGAACTTAAGGCTTTAGGTGTTCTATTTCCGACATGTTTTGATAAAACACAAACTAAAAAAGCGTAATCTTGAGGAACAAGAAAACATTGCACGCAGTCGTGGTATTAATGGGAGTTTACCAAGTTAGTAACTGAACTGTTTTAACTTGTTTGAAAATGAGTGAGAAGGCCAGTAGTTTCAAAAAAACATCTCTCGCGCGCCATGCATTTCTAGCGAAGAATGGTGCAATCAGCGTGCCTAGCCAAGAAGCGCTGCGGGCGGGCGACCCACGAACTTACGCTGGTCATGTCAATCCATAATGTTTTCCGGAGCACGGTCCACTTTACATTCACTAGTCTTTACATTCAAAATAGGCCCCTCGAATCTCATATTGTCCTCATCTTTTCGGTACATTCGTTTGATAGTGTTCAAGAAATCATCCCAAGAATCCGTTCGGGCACAAGTTTTGGCAGACTGTCATGAAAGTTTTCTCCTCACCACGTTGTATGATACGAATATGATGTTAACGTACGTACGTCCGTACCGTGTGGACTGCAGACGAAGTAAATCACGTGCGCTGCATGTGTGCACAATGTGTAATGGCAAATACACGTTGATTCGCCTCATGTTCGTCGTTGGGATTTCAATGCACAGCGCACTGCGAATATACATGGAGTGATACGAATTCGAACTATGTACCGATGTTTTTATTTCGGTCGGCGTGGCAAAAGTATTCATGTGTTGTATCACCCTTAACTTTTTATTTTGATTGATTGAAAAATACTGTAGGAAAAACTTCGTTATTTTTATTTTTTTTAACAGTTTTTGACTCACCCGTCGGACTACTGAGAGGAGGGTTTTGACTCGCCCGCCGCTGTTTTCACTCGCATTTGGCGAGCGGGCGACCGTTAAGGATAATCCCTGCATGATGACGTCATGATGACGTCACTCTTCGGGACATGCTGAGTTTCAATGATGTACGACAAAGATTAATGCCAAAAGTGGCACAGAGAAAAGACGTGTACAATGTCTATGGGATTTAGGCGACAAAAGAAGAAGAAGAAGAAGAAGAAGAAGAAGAAGAAAGAAAAACCAGCACAAATAGAAAGGCTTTTCCGCAACTATGCGGAAAAGCCAAATACTCTTGAACTTTGGCTTCATATTTTAAGGTTTCATAGAGCATGAAATCTCCTGAAGTCAAAGCTAAGGTTCTGCCTTTTTAGAGCTGTACATAATTATGAAGGTTTTCTCACCTATAGGCTTGTCTACTCTCATCAGTCTGAGGTAAGGCTGGACTTTGCTGGGTGCTGCATCCACCATGGAACTCAATACGCTCATAGGTCTTGAATCACATCTAGTCCATCTATTACATTGTAAATCGTGCCGTCCTAGACCAGCTCCAATCTGATTTATACAGAGTTGATTGTGTTGTCTGTGAAGCTGCGAATACATGTGCTTGTGAATACACAGCACAGGGCGGGGTTTATGCGTTCTACGAAAGAGTGAAGGCTGGTCAGCATGTTGACATTGCTGAATTGCACCACAGTTAAGAATGACGCTTCCGTGACTACTCACAGCACGTTGAGCATCAAACACATCTGATGACATAAGTCTTTGAGAACTTCTGTGGTTGAATACTTGATGCTTGCAATGGTTGTCGCAGCTTTGAACAGTCATGTGTTGGCTTGGGGTAACGTTGGAAGGTGTAGAGAAGCAGCTTATAGACCGTGGACTCCAGCGTCTACACAGCCTGTTGAATGTGACCAACATTGTGGTAATTTTGTTTGCGCTCAATTGATGATACTAGATCTGTTATGAAAAGAAGTAAAATTTAAAATGATCAGAATAAAAACAGTGTTACTTAGTGTCTACGTTGTTAACTTTTGTGTTAATTTGTGGTATTTCAGTCTGATTGAATGGGATATTTCACATAAGCCTATTTTATTCAAGTTAATAAGAGAAGCGTCTCTGGATGGGATAGAGCCACCCTCTCACTCGGCCATATTGAATATCCAGCATGCATTGTAGTTAGTCGGGTGGTCATGAATTTTAGTCTCATGTAAGTACATAGCCCCACTAGTGTGGCCGTCGGTATGCTGCGCTGAACCTCTGGCCACACACCGTGGTACCGCGCACTACTGAGGACGAAGTTTTCATAAATTTTACAGGCAGTTTCTTACATATGGTTGTATTCTATGATGTCCCATCTATCACTTCTGGGATGCTTAGGTGTAATGATGTTCAATTTTCCGAGATATTTTTGAATCTTTCTGGAGCCCATATGCACCCGTGAAACGTCTGGTGATGGCAGCCATTTTGAATGTGACAAGAGAGATGACCTCAAGCTGTGACGTCGCGTTTATGCAAATTCTTGTCGAGCGAGGGCGCGAGTTGCAAATGTGACGGCTGTTTCCTGTTCCAATTAAAAATGAAAATAATACCCTGCGCATGCATGATGCACTGCGCGGGCATCGATGTCGACGGCTTGGACGACACGCGCGACACAGGAAACAGCCGTCGCATTTGCAACTCGCGCCCTCGCTCGACAAGCAATTTGCATAAACGCGACGTCACAGCTTGAGGTCATCTCTTGTCACATTCAAAATTGCTGCCATCACCAGACGTTTCACGAGTGCATATGGGCTCCAGAAAGATTCAAGAATATCTCGGAAAATTGAACATCATTACACCCAAGCATCCCAGAAGTGATAGTTGGGACATCGTAGAATACAACCATATGTAAGAAATTCCCTGCAAATTTTATGAAAACGTCCTCAGTAGTGCGCGGACCACGGTGTGTGGCCTTGGGTTCAGCGCAGCATACCGACGGCCACACTAGTGGGGCTAGTAAGTACAGTACATGATCATGATAGGCCAAGTGAACGAAGGGTGTGCAAATGGCCATTCCAACATGTCCAAGGGACACACGCCCAGTTTACAAGCCAGAAGCTGTTACGGAAAAAAATGTTGCAACCTGACATGACGCCACTTCCGTGATGTGTACAGAGTATACGCTTGCACGGCACTGGCGTGAAGTCAAACTGGATGATGATGCTGATGACAATTAATGAGTGATGATGATGATGCTGAGATTTATATGGCATTTGTAAATTGTATGGAGAGTCAAAACAATTTTCTAAGTAGGCCTATTTCTTAACAAAATTCGAAATGTTTCTCAGTCCCAGATTCAGGTAATCCTTACTTTTAGGACACCTCTATTGTGTACGAGTTCTGTTCAAAACTGACTTTTGCAGATGACTGTTCAGCCAAAGTGACTTTTGCAGGCTAAAGAAGTCTTTTTTCTTCAGACAAACTCATGTTAGTTATAATTTTGAAAGCACTTTCGAAGAAAATGTGACTTTCCTACCTTTTTTTGCAGTTTGCCATCTTGCTTTTTAATTTTATTTTCTGTTTTTCATCGTCGTCTTTATCCCCTCATAAATTTAAACCCTGCCCTCTTTCTACAAAATTAAACCTGCTGAAGACAAGAGTTGTCATTGCCAAATGTTCAAATGTGTCAATAAATATCAGAATGTCACTTTTGAGTTTCATTTAGTCAGCTGTTTTGGTGAGTCTTTTAACCTTGTATAGGAAAGGGGTCCTAAAAGTAAGGATTACCATGATTCATGTCTTATCATTTTTGCAATGAATGACTTTTATCATGTTCATTGAGATGATTATTATGAAGAAAAAAAGTGGCGTCAGGTTGCAACATTTTTTGCAAAGTCAAATTTAGCAGGGAAAATATTGAAGCATTTATTAAAAAAATACGTACAATTTTTCAGACCATTCTCATAAAGCTTGTGCACAGGGTGTCAAGTGATGTCCAGGTATGAATGTTTTTCCTAAAACGACATTATAGGAGGGCAAATTCTTACCAAACTCTGAGGAAATTTGTGAACGACGTCGAAATGCCCATTCAAAAATGGCGCCCTCTCTAGGTCGAGTTACTCGCGTACAAATTTTCCCACGTGCGAGTTGGACTGGTTTTCGACCCAAAAGAATAACACTGATACTGATAGCTAGCCCGGAAACCAGTCTCCATGAAAACTGTCATTTTAGTCTTTCTGCAGGCTGCGATTCGAGACATAAATAAACCGATAACCTGTTTTCCGCGGCGTTTGATCTATTTTGATGTAATAAAATTAAAAGTATTCGAGAAAATTAAGGAAATTTCCATTTTGTCCTACCTCAGAGGGTCAATATAGGATTTCGGCAGTGAACAGAATGACAGCTGGTAAATAGGCCACGAAGTTGACCTTGTGACCTAGATAGAAAAACAAACAAGATGTCTGCGCCCGTGCGGAAGTAAGTGGAAGTGCTCAAAATGGAAATGAAACGTTCATTGTTACTACAAATATTAGGGTGAAAATGTATCGGATTTATTTAGGTTATTATTTGTTATAGCACGTGCCGGTAGTGGTAACCCAGAACTGGATTATACCTGAAGAAAAAAATGTAAAACAAATCACAAATCAGGGTGACTTTTGTTGTGTCACAATTTTTATAAACTTTCCACCAATCAACACTCAGCTATTTAATTTCCCTGAAAGCCGGACAGAACTCAGTCTTGATATAAAAAAAAGTATCTTGAAAACCCACAAGTCTCGTTTTTACGTTTGATGTTATTTATAGGCTATTTGTTGTTGCAAAGGCCAAAAGGCATGAAAGGGTGATTTTTGTGCCTGAAATTAGGCTACTCGAATTGAAACAGTCAGGAACTCCTAACTTTAACATTTTGTTGTTGTTGAATCCTATTTTATTCCTAATGAACTTGGTGTCTTGTCATTTCCTGAGTCCAATAGTAGCCATTTAAAAAAAGAAACTGGCGGCCATCTTGAAAAATAGCCTGGTCGGGGGGCCATTTTGGAGGGGGGGGGGGGGTACTCCGCGGAGCATCTAGGAGTAGGGGGGGGGGTCCTCCCGCTTCCTTCTTTTCAAAAAGGCAGGACGCTAAACACATTTTTTTTCATTTTTTTTACCTTTTTACTTGAGCCTATTTGGGATAATTTTATTTCAGATATGCCAGACACACTAAAATAGGAGGGTGCTATTTGGTTTGGGTAAATATTACCGAATGACTGACCATCGTTTAGTATATTCTATGGTGTAAGAAGACATCATTCTATCCATGATCTCATCTGTTTTTTTGTTTGTAGCCTAGTGAAGGGCCTGATTGATGCCCACCGAGTCATGGTCTTCTCTAAATCAACCTGCCCATTCTGTCTGTTGGCCAAGGACACGCTGAGGGAGGCAGGAGTCAGGGACTTGAAGGTGCTGGAGATTGAGCTCAGACCAGATGCTCCAGATATACAGGTACAATGGCCGGGATGACCCGATACGGTCCCAGTTTAGGGGCGTGTCTTTTGGGAAGGGGTGCCGTTTAAATCTTTTGATGTCAAATTTGGCAAATGTCAATAAACTAAAAAGGAAACGAGGAAAAGGACACGGTGGCAGATCTGGGGATGTTCCCTCCCCCCCCCCCCCCCCCCCCTCCCCGGCCGCAAACAAATAAGAAAATCATCACAGAAAAAAAACATGCCAAATGCTAGCACCCCCCCCCCCTCCCCTCCCTTGGCAGCTAAATCCCCTCTTGATCCAAACTGAACCAAACCAAATCTGTAAATAGGCAGGATTAACTGCACTGCAATGTATTACATTGTATTTTTTCCTTGATGAAACCAAGAGTGTTGGGGGGGGGGGGGGTTGGGGCAGTACAGGGACTAGCAGATTAAGGCTCAATAACCAAGTCTGAAAAGTGTTGGAGCAGTGTTCTGAAGGTTGTAGGTTCACATTCCCCTGTAGTCACTTTTAAGATCGTCAAAATTTCGTAAAAATGGTGGGTACGTTCACACATTCATTTTACTAACACGCAATGGATCTGTGGTATGTTCTAAGTGATGTTGCAGGCTGTACATGTTAAAAGATCATGTGATCTTATTTTTATAGACCATAATCTTCAAATTGGCAAGAAAAACCACTGATACAATTGTTTTGCTTATTCGTTCAAAATTGCACTTGAATCTAATCTTAATACTTCTCGGTATTTGTGTTATGACCTACAGAAGGTTCTATATGACATTACGGGTATCTCAACAGTGCCCAGTGTCTTCATCGATAAAGAGCACATTGGAGGGGGAACGGACGTCCAACTCAAACAGGAATCAGGAGAACTGGAGAAGTTGTTGAGAGAAAAGGGAATCATCAATGGAAACGGCGAGGCGTGACCAGCAGGAAAGGAGAGGACTGTACTGAGCATAAGTGTGAACGATATAAATTTGCCAATGGACTCCTGTGAAATGCAAATGAAATGCCAGTTTATTGCAGCACCTGTACTTGCAGCACGTGTATTTCATTGTATTAATTGTATTCTATAATACCATAGAGTTCTCTGGTGGTTTCGGGCACTTCAAGGAGTAACAGGCAGGGCGGTTTTTGGGTGCTACAGTGACTAAAGGTTAATGGACAAAAAATTTCAGGGGCAATATAATATTGATGTTTGAAGTTATTATGATTATCTATGATTATATATTGTGGGTAATGGCAGCAGGTGTGGGGTAGGGGCGCTAAATTCATTTACAAAAATCATTTTCAGGTTTTAAATGTACATAGAATGTAATCTTTGTTTGGTGAAAACAGGGTCAAATATCAACCCACTGCCTTTCATAAAAATTCTACATACAACTCTAAACGATCGGTAATAAACACAGCAAAAAAGAACAAGGTTTCACAAATTCAACGGCCAAATTGTTTTAATGAAGTACTTCTTGCAAAAGTCATTGTGAGCTAACCAACACATAAAGTATACAGCAAAAGGCCCCCCGAGAGCCAATTTTGCTTCATGTGGAAAGAAGTAACTGACCCAGTATCTCATGTTCACAGAGTTAAAGCTACTTGCAAAGCTTTAAGTAATAAAAACCACCCATTTAAAAATGCACCATAAAAAGTTCAGATTTCTACAAGTATTGATAAAAAGATTACGCTAGAGATTTGTCTTAGTACTACACACAGCATTTACTGTTTACTTTGGAAAAAAGATATCTTATACATTAAGGCAAGGGCAGTAGGAAAAACACAGCCACTGTGTAACAATATAATAAAAAATCAAAGTGAGCAAAGCATGTTCAAGTTGAATGTCCGAGAATTTCTTGGGTGTACGGCTTCGAAACGGCGAAGTGTCAAAAACACACTTGTGAAAACAAGAGCTAATCCCATATAATTTTACACCGGTATATGTTAATGGTAATACAATCTGATAACGTCTAGACAACTCAGGGAACTACTGGTTTTTACTGAGTAACTTTTAAATTACATTCGCTTTTTCAGTCCGGTGGCAGTTCCTTTTTAGCCTTTTGGTTCGCTTGCTTGGATTATTGAATATTAAAATTTAAATTTACTCCGTTTTTTTATTGTTGCAATACAAATTTTGACCGCCAACTTAATTCATAACATTTTGTAGTATATATATTTCGACAAGTCTTCCATTAAATGTACAATTTATTGGTATTCTACAAATCAGTCATACGCAGTCTGAACCAAGTACCGAGTAAATGTATTTACATGCAAAAAAAATATACGCAGAAAGTTAAACATTGGAGTAAAAAATAATTTGGGAGTTTTAGATACAATAAATTTCATATTTACTCAGGAAAAAAATAATAATAAAATTTAGTACTGTACAGTGTACTGATTATAAAATATTCAAATCACAGGGATAAAAAAATAAGAGATGCATAGCGAAGCAGCTACATGTATTAATTTTGGAAAGTATTTACAACTGATTATTGCCCTAATAAAGATTCTGTGTGTGTATTCACAGAATGGCATGCACAATTTTGAAGCGAACATTTAATCAGATTTCATTCTGGGCAGTTTAATGTGGTTTTAAGCATAGAAGGCCAGTACTGTTCCGTGCATAAAACCTTCTGACTTTTTCAAAATTAAAAACATTTGCAGCATAGAATGAAAATAGTCATTTAGAAAGACAAGTCAATTAGCCAAGTTTGTAAAACACATATACTGTTGACTGGTTCATATTCTTTTACAGTAAATACATATTCAAAGTCTAAACAAGATGTTACGCCTAAACTTGACCATCGGTCCCAAATTAAGCTGGGTGCATCTTAACAAAAGTTTTCCAACTGGAACCCGTATTAAAGTTGGGACTGTCCTAGCCAAAGAATAGTCTATGGAATAGAGGTCTATGATATGCGATCAGATTCGGCGATTAATTACGCAAAACAAGACTGCGTCTTGACCTTGAGATTCTGACCATTCAGCGGGCACCTTGTATCGGGTCTTCCGTAACCTGTTGTTGTATTATAAAAACATGTCAGCCAAATTGACCAATCAACAGTTTAGTCCACATTTCTGATCGAAATGACATCATGTGCATGCTTAGATATATATAAGACGTTGGATACTGAGAGGGCTCCGTTGAAGAATGGGTGAGATACTCAGACTACCAAAAGTGGGACCATGGTCAAGTTGGGGCATTACAAAGACACAAACAACACTATGCAGGAGCAAAATTAGAAAAAGTAAAGAAACCACCCTGATTGTCTGGAAAGAACGCGTGGAATTTTACAATGCATAGGAATGGGAGCTTTGTAGTGTGTGCATAGATCTAATACAAAAAGAAACTATTCAAATTTGGCAGAATACTCGTTTCGAGAATTACTAAAAGTGGTTCATATGCTACAGATCTGCAGCGTTAGTAAGAGATAAAAAGGAAATCACATTTCTTATCAAGTACAAATATCGAATGTAATCTTAAAAGTCCTTGGTTAATGCCCTGCGAATCAAAACTTTATTGGAAAATTAAGGTTTTCTTGCATTAAAAAAAGGATACAAATGCTAAGGTTTGGTTTGTGTTGTGTTAATGTACGACTTAAGATAACTTCACATTTTCAATTGCTGGTTGCATCTCATTAAAAAAATAGAACATGTTTAAAACATACAAAGCATAACTGAGTTGTGTTCAAAGGGTAACACTGCGTATGTACATGTGCCCTGGCCAGCACCGCATTGTGGGGCAGTTTTCTATTGTTAGAAAAATTACGATTGAGTTATTAGGACTTTCTGCTGTCCCCATAGTGTTGGCCACTTCAATTGTGGATGGATTCCGGGAAGTTATAGTTTAAAAAAGCTGTGATTTTTTTTAAAAGCAACATCCTGAGTATGGACCTCATTCATCAAAAGTTAGAAATTCATATCATGGCATTATTATAAGTAAGTCACAAAAATTTGGCCGCCTCTGGAGTATTTACACCATAAATATTCCGGGTTATATTGAGGGTTATAAAAAATATAACAAAGTTTTGTTACTGTTACTTACAACTTGCATGTCAAATCCAATGTCAGGAGATTTCTCATGCTACAACTGACACATGGCATTGTGTTTCTATTTTATTTTTGGTTCAAACACTGTCAAAGGTTGTGATAAGAATTTTGTAGCATTTAAAAAGAAAAAAACACAATTTTGGCACATTCAGACGTTAGATGAGTCAGATTCCATGAAGCTCTATGACACTACGATCTTAAAATGAGTTCTTTGATTACTCGTAGCCTTTGGAGCAACAGTGCTACAGTTTGCAGTTATTTCAAATTCACAAATTGGTCAGTGTTTGCGGAAATCAAACATCACACAATTGCTAGTTTTTACAGCATTGTAAAACTTGATTATGTCATATGATTACTTAAAGTGAGTACGTAATAAAATTCTATGTAAAACATAAAGCCCCTAGCCCATTCGCATCTCTGTGTACATTTGATAAATCACAGTACCCAAGCCGATTAAACAGCTACCGTCACATAATTTGAAATCAAACTTAAAAACAGTCCATTTTATATCATAAAAATATTTCCACCTTTTTTTTAATAGATACATGCAAACATATTGTCTTGTTTCTCGTATAATAATATATATATACATTTCAAGCAAACAAAGGGCTTTTTAGAATTATTCTACAGGGTAAAACTCCTTTAAAATTGTCGGGAAAAAAGTCGTCATAAAATAATGTGAAATTTCAAATGTTGTTCCTCAGCAATTTGGAAATACTTTACATCTTTAGAATGGCATTTCTGCGGATCATTAGTAAGGATTCCAAATCATATTAATTTGGGATGCCAAAAATCCATGAATTTTAAAAGAAATTTCTCATGTGGGAAAATGTGAAGCCACCTATCCACAAGCCTTTCCAAGCACTTTTCCCAGTCCATTTTTGTGTCCATTTTGAAATTGGGCCTATAGACCTTATCCGCAGCAGCCACCTTAGAGGGTAATGTCTTTATTTTGCTGGGTTATGCATGAGTGAACCTTTCGTGCACTCATTCCTACTGAATTAAAATAACAAAAGATGCCCTCTAAGATGGCTGCTACGCATAAGGTCTATCATTGATATGTAGACCTACTTTGGCAAAAAGCACCGAGACGATACTGATGGAAAGACAACGTCAGGGTTTTTTGGATAACGGACTTGATTCACATCTGGGCCCCATTCCATGGCTCTGCTAACCACAGAATTCTGTGCTTACGATCACCACTCTATGCTAACCGCGCTAGAAGAAAAAAATTCTGCGCTAAGCCAGTAATCACAGAATCCTTAGTTACGGGATGTACACATGCGCACAAGCCAAAATTCCTCGCTAACCCGTGAAATGCTCTTACCGTAAGCACAGGATTTTCTGCTACAATAAGCGAGTCAGAGAATCTTGAAGGAATGAGGCAGTGGTCACCCCTCCAATGAACAAATTTAAGAATTAACGGATGATTTTGGAGGATTGAGGCTGTATCTAATTTTTACATGGTTGCAATTGGAGGATTTTGCAGAATTGAGGATGGTCCCTAGCCAAAAGGGCCTAAGGGGTAAGGGTTATTTAAAGTACAGTAGGTGCCTGTAATAACAAGTTCTCATTGTTGAATCCTATACATCTCGGTTCCTAGTCAGCGTGCTGCGGCCTGACATCCCCCCATCCTTCTCTTCTTCCCGTCTCTCGGTCACAAACCTGAGAGCCTGGGTCTTGTCTGGGTCCAGGTCAAAGTATTCCACCGTCGGGGAGCTAGACTTAGGGGGCCTCGGGGGAGGCTGACGGGCTTCCTCCTCGTGGTCGTGGGAAAGCTCCAGGTACTCGATCTCGTCACTTTGCTGGCAGGGCGGCGGGGCAGGGAAGGGGGTGTTGGACAGCCCTTCTGTTAAGGGGCGCTGTTGAGAGACACACACAATAAATGAAGAGGGTGATTGAAAACGGTGTCTACATAGAGCTGCAGCTACGTCTATTGTCAGATTGTTCCCACATATCTGTAATTTTCTCAGACCTAGATGATAGCTCTACAGCTATGACGCGGCGTTAAATTGTGTCTTGGATGCTGTAATTTAACGATCTCAAGCGGAGTTGTGTCACATTTGTGAAATAAATATGACATAATTGACACCCATTAAATACTGTCTAGCTCATCCTTTGCGTCACAAAGGCAAGATACATGGGCAGCCCAGTAGCTGTAAACTTAAAGGGTGCAAAACAGATTATGTCATGTTTGGTAGGAAACCTCAGGGTAATTAGAACATTTTACTTCCATCAATTGAATTCAGTCATTTTTTTGGCAGAATATTTCACAACCTTATTGACTTGATGGGATGATATGAAACAACTGTTGACTGCTGTGATGTGGGACATGTGTTTATGACACCCTCTATGTCACATTGGCTGAACCGGTCAACAATCGCTAAATATGTAACAAGCAACTGGATTCTTGCCAACTATTACCAACTGTCATGTGATGTATCTTCAGGGCTGAGACCCCACCAGTGTTGCAGTCGAGTACTTTTCAAGTAGCAAGTGTATTGCCAAATATTAAGCTAGTTTGATGGAGCAAAGCCGGAAAACACCACCAACACTAAAGCATTTACTGCCCATTGCCAACAATTTCTGGTTTTGTTCCCACCTAACCAGACAAGTGTTTGGCACTAAATGCTGCACTCAAAAGTACTCAACTGGAACACTGCAAAGCACATACTCAGGGACTTGTCTTTGTGCTTGTTGGTTTCCTGGGACCGAAATCAACTTTCGTTCTATCTTTACAAAAACACGTCCTAGTTGTTACTTCCTTGTCCAATATTTATGTTTTGAAAGCAAACCTAGCCAAAAAGGCCATCAAATCTACCTGAAACTTTTGTGAGGCAATCATGAAGAGTTTTGCACAATAGAACTTGTGAACTATCCCACAACGTTATCGTTCAAGTTCAAGTGAGGAAATCTAGGGACATACATTTTATTCCCGGGCATGCCACTGGAATTCACAACAAAGAGAGGAAATTACAAATGTTGCAAGACACTCTGTGGTGCTTTCCAAATATTAATGGCATACAAGAGAAGAGAAAAAAAGAGGAAATCAGCTGATCAAAGCAAAAGTTTCATGCTTGTCATCAGAAAAGGACAAAATTCCAATTGGAATTTGCAACCTAGATGAAACCCCTAATTTTCTGATGCTCCAGATGGAAACAGCATCTGACATTTAATAACGAACAGCTACAAATGCCAAGAGTAACTTTACAGTTTCAATGTCTGGAAAATCTACGTGGTCTAGATGTTGCTCAAGTTTCAACATACCTCTGAGAGCCCGCTGGTACCTGGCACATCCTTATAGATGTACGTGTCCTCCTCTGGAACCGTTGGCACCGCACGGGGGGCGTAGAGTTCGTGCTCCCCGGGACCGTACAGGTCATCGTCCGAGGATGAGGTGGTGCTGTCCCCAGTGTTGCTTCTTACGCGGTACGGATCTGCGTCAGTGTCGATCCTTGCATTCCTAAAGAGAGAGAAAGAGACAGTGGAATGATGACTTGGTCACAAATTCAAAAAATCTGAAATTCAAAGTGATGGAATTCAGGCTTGCATAGTGGTTCTTCCCTCACCTTCCGCCTCTATGGACGAGGTTCACATCCCGCCCAAGTCCACAGGTAGATTAGGTTTTCAGTTCAACTTTTGATTTTTTTGGTGTGGTGTACTTATTAATTTATTTTTTTAGTTATACATGTAAGCAACAGCTGAGCTGTTGAACATTGTTAGAAATAAACTAAATTGCAATAAAATACATATAATAAGCTTCAGAATGATATACATGTTTCATTTGAATTTTTTAGAAGCTTTTTCATTGAGGTGTATAATTCCATGGAATTGCTGAAATGTCAAAATAATTTGTATAATAAAACTATGACAGGAACTCACTCATACTGTCCCGGGCGTCGGCTGTAGCTCCTAGTCCTATCTGATTGGACCGGCCTCATGTCAGACACTGGCCTTGGAGGAAGACTATCGCTGGTTGCATAGAAACTTCCTTCCATTCCAAATCGTTCGGTACTGGTAGATCCTAAATCAGGAGAACAAACACAATTGCATGCTGATAACAATTTTCTGTTGGACATTACACAAATTCTGGCCACTCCGGCTTGAAGTGAAGTTTAGTCACAGGCTTCACAGAATGTTCCGTTTGAAGAATCCAGTGAATCTTCCCTGATATTTCCCTGAGAAATGTCCAAAATTTCATGACTGGGAAGTCAAGAGGTGGTTGTAGCAAAGCAACTAAGATACTGATAATACAAAGGCATCTTGTTGACAAGCAATGGCCTTCCCTCTCCTCTTTTAGCCATTCTTTCCCCACTACCCAACTTTTCCCTGATTTTTGTTTTTTGGGCCAAATTCCCAGAGTTTTCCCTGACTGGAAACTGTAAACTCATTTTCAGGTTTTTCCCTGAGTACCAGAGTGGCTGGGAACCCTGACGTCACTGCATTGCAAAACTCTTTCTTTATTGACTCTGTGATATGCACATCTTCAAGTCTTACAGTATTTAGGATGTTTTGTGGTTCAAATAGTTACAAGAACCCTAGGCGCTTGTATCAAGCATGTTTTTTTAAGTTGACATTTTTCTAGCCTCTCTTTTCAACAGATGGATCCAACCAAACCAAAGTGTACATCTTGGGCACAATAAACTTGACGTCAAAGAACTAACAACGACCAGGGTTGTTGCTCTCAACCATCTCTGTAGACAAGTTACAGAACTCATATTTCAAGCAGATTTGAAGTCAAGTACTCACACGTCAAGAGTCCGTCATTCAAGAAAAAAGCTGTTTAAACAAACTGTGACAACATTAATTAAGAGAATTCTGTCATTGTCTATCCCCTGTCACTTGTGACCCAACGTCAGATTTGACTAATGATGAGCTTGAGATTTGACTAGTCACAGACCTCTGATGGAGTTTGACTACAACTCTGAATTCAAATTTTCCCAGATTCCCAACTTACGGATTCCTCCCTCGCTTGTTTTCCTGTCCGGCTTCAAACTTCGGTCAATAGGGGGCGGTCTCTCGCCACCGGAAAACGTGTGCCGGTAACCGAAACCCGGCGCAGACCCCCTCTGGAGCGGGACTCCCGAGTTCATCAAGGCGTACGTCTCCTGTTGGCTTTCGGAGAAGGAACGTCCATCCAGTCTCGGACCTCCGTTGGTGCCCTCCATAGCCATGTACGTGGAGTTGCCGGGATACTGGAACACGTTGGATTCACCACTGCTGCCGTCCATCGGTAGATAGCTCTCAAGATGATCCAGGGTTGGGGACGGGCCGTAGCGAAGGTCAGAGTCAAAGGACCTCTGAGGCTGCGGGGGAGGGGGGACGACCCTCTGGTGGAAGTAGCCGGCCGATTTGGGAGGGAGGGATTGTCTATTGGCACTCTTGCTGGTGTTGATGTACCGATGGCCTGATACATGAAAGAAAGGCTTTAATAGTAAAGTTATTACTGATGCACATTAGTAAATTAAATAATGACAAAAATTGTGCATTAGCTTGTACATCTCTCCGTGCCTTAAGAGTGGTCCCCTGTGGGGAGTACTAATATGCAGCGAGTACATGGACCGCACTTAACTATCCCAGATCTTTCAAAATACAACAGTTGGAGTGACAGTTACAGTTCCCTGTGAAAATTGAAGTAATATAAAAATGTGCCGTTGCTTGGGAATACAGACACAGAAAGGATGGTCGCCAATCAATTTAGTTATTCCCTTCCTTTCTTGTTTTGAATGTTTTCTTTTATTCGCATTACATCGCTGACTAAGCCTTGAAAAACAGTACGACTTCAGAAATGTTCAGTATCTGTCGCATACTGCAAACAAAACTCCACTATGGGATATACTGTTTAATTATATCCATAGAGCTATAACAAATTACTAGAGTGCTAACTTTGTGTACAAAGTAATGCCTGCTGAGCGCATCCATGTTTGTGCACAAACCTATGGAGACCTAGAAATTTTGTACGGCTTTTGTACGGCTATTTGCATATCTGCGTTTGTATTCCATACCCGTGCGTTATCGAAGCCAATACGCCCAAAACCGAAACGCACGATCAGCAAATGAGCGTGTCATTTTGCTCTACGCAAACAGCGCGCGCAACGTGTGCACGTATTCGCTGCAGATGCTTTTTGCCGTCACGTTTTTGAACCGTCAATGACGCGCTTAAGTTGTTTGCGTATGGTCTACTTGCGCGCTGCATGTAGAGCACACTTTCAAAATTCAATCCATCTAATTTCATTATGGTCTACAAACACGCACATGAATTCAAAATGTCTGCGCCCAAGACGGCTTCTAAGCGTCTCCGCGCGCAGAATGAGGAGTTAGCGCACTAGTAATTTAATATAACTCTATGATTATATCCCAGTGTGGTCCACTAGTGCAGAATCACGTTTATGAAAACTTCCTATTCATAATTTCTTTGGAGTTTTCCTGGTGTGCAGTTCGCTTCTTCTTTTCTTTTCTTTTCTTTTTCCCATCTTGATACCCAATTACTCCAAACGATTTCCTATCATTTAGTAAAAGGCTACATTACCTGGTCCGCCTGGTGTTGGGACCTTGCTGTCCAGCCACTGGTGCCCATTTGGTGGGGATCTGATATGCGAGGGGGGAACTGAGTAAATTGAAACATCCAACTCCTGGGAGGAGACAGGCATGGCATGGACAGGAGGCACGGCGTATGTGTCATCAAAGCTTGATGGTGGGGTGGAAGGCCTCAAGTGTTGTGGCTTGGGCGGCCTTGGAGGAGTTTGCACGGCCTGGGTTTCGATAGAGGTGGCAGAAGTGGGAGTCAATTTGGGAGGTCTTGGCGGAGGAGTGGCACTCTTCTCCGCTGCATCCTCGGGGGAAGTGAAAAGGTCTGCGGCATTCTTAAGACTCGACTGGGGGACGTTGTAAATATCCAGTGAGTCGTCCGTACCCCTTGAGTTGCGGACAGAGATTTGCTTGAAGTCCTGGGCAAGTTTGTCGGTGGAGGAGGTCGTCTCTTTGTTCTGATTTTTTACCAGAGGATGTGCCGGGGGGTAATCGTAAATCCCTCCCCCATCGTGCCTGGGCGGCACGGCATACAAGTCATGTGCTCCCCCATTTAGCTGATTCTGATTATCTTGCGTAAAAGGGGAGTGGATGCTGGAGTTTAAGTCTGCCGGACGTGGCACTGGCACAGGTTTGTAGATGTCGTCCTGGGTTTGCAACGATGGGTCTCGCCTGAGCAGTGCGGGCGGTACATCATATGTGGGTTGCATGTTGGCAATGCTGAGTCTCTGCAAAGCTGGAGGGATGTCGTAGTTCTCCATTCCAGCCACTTCCGTCTCGGATTGGGGCGGCAAAGGGGGGCTTTCATTGGGCATGCTGGAGTTGCTGCTTGAGCTACCAGTGCGCGACCGCCTCATAGAGTCCATGGAGAACACCTCCTGATTACCGGTACCATCCCAACCCCCGTTGACGGGCACGCTCTGCGACAGGAACTCCTTGGTCTGTCCGCTCTTACACTCGTCCAGTGGAATGTAAGATTCAGCATGATCGGCAGGCACGGAGGCTGGAAACGGCCGTGGAGAGTATGCATTCAGCGGGGATTGGGCTACGCTGATAGGCTGCGTGGCTACAGCCGGTTCAGCTATTTCGTCTTCTTCTAGGGAAAAAAAAACAGAAGAAGAAAAATGAAACCAGAGTTAAGGGCATTGTTTACTTAAGCATGAATATAATATTCCACATACTTCAAGATGAAGGAGCTCTGCAAGGACTTGGATAAGGAGTGCTCCTATCATAGACTGTTCCTTCTAATAAAACGATACATGTTAACACTGTACCTCAGTTGGTCAGAGCCTCAGTATATATGTATGTACAATGCAGTATCCCCTTTTATCCCAGTATCCTAACAGCCACCATTACAAGCAAAACAGCTGCACAGAATGAACCAAAATTCCGGTTCTCGGTGCAATTTAAACAACTTTTACAGCTTTCCTCTGGTAGAGGAATACAAGACTTGGGTCTGAGAATGCTCTAGAAATGAGACATTTGTGTTGTTGACATCCTCTGAAAAAGTTTGCTGCCATTTATTACTTCCACACAGGAAGGCACGGGGCTTCCTGACTCGAGCAGCAAAACAAACGGATCAGGCTACACTGCATCAGACAAACAAATACCTCATATGTTTTACGGGTTCTCTTGCCGATTTGAGCACAAACACACAGGTTGTTTGATCAACACAACATGTGCATATCATGTGCAAATCAAAACCTCAACTCTGCTAGGCTGCATGTGCGTGATTTAAAAAATGTTGTAATCAGATACTCAACTGACGTTTTTGAAATATCTGCATTAATTAACAACAGTATTTGAAATACGATTACTACAAAAATGGGTGTTGCGAAACATCCAGGATGGGCAAAAACTTTGTGAGCAAAAGCTGCTACAAACATGCAAATTTAAGACTGGTGTAGCATTGTTTTATATAAAAAAAATAACGGGGATTTGCCAGGTGTTGTTATAATCAGAGGTTATTGTGCACACAGCTGCTCATCACAGAAATTAACTTGGCACAAAAAATACATTTAACTTGCTGAGCAAAACTGGTTGTCAGCTTAATTTGATGCGACGTGCAATGCCCGGTTCTCGTTTAATTATATCTCAGCACCTGGCAATGCTAAGAAAGATTTTCTTGAAATTGGTCATTCATGAAATTGGTCACGGGCATTGTCATAACCTCTCACTGACCAAAGCCATTGAATGATTGACCTTTTTTTTACAAGCCTGGTTAGTTCCTGTCCTTTCGACCTTGTTCAAATCACTAGTTTAAAGCTGCAATCCATCATTTGCAGCTACCCAAAAAGTAACTCACTTTTTTGTTGAAATGCATACTTGGTTTAAAGATAGTAATCTTTCTGGCAAGCTGTCTTTTTGAAAGAAACAATGAATGAAGGCCATTTTCAACGATGTGTCTTAAGACACATTTTTGGAAATTTCAGTTAGAAGTTTGTTTTTTAATTCGGCGATGCTATAATTCAGCGGTTACAGCTTCAATTGGCTGAATAAGAACGTGTCCCGAACACTGAATTCGGGCAAAATTCAAAACATCACTCAGCAACTTTTGATTTGAAATCGAGATCCTAGAATATTGTTTTCTCGGAATATACAGCATTCACTGAGCTAAAACTTCATCAGGTTAGTTGTTCAGCACCCTTCTTTAGATTTTGAGCACTTTTCTTGCTTCAAACGAACATAATACACACATTACAAATGATGTACACTACCTTTAAGTAAATGTTGCCCCTGAAATTAGCATGCACATTTCTGTGCTTGCCACTAACATTCTCCGTAAAATAGACAGAGGCTGTGTTAGCTGAAAAATGACAAGTCCTCACAAGTCCCCTAATGTCCGTCACAAGTCATTCAGTTCAAAACCAAGTCACAAGCTATTCAAATAAACCGTGACAAAGGCGCACATTTGTGGTTATTCATCCACTGTTGCTTGTGACCAGATTTGCAAACGGAAAGTTACATCTTCTTGGCACTGGTGATGGGGACTAGTGATGGAACTAGGACAACATTGGTACGTCGGTGCACACACATACCTTGGTTCTCCAGCTGGAAGCCACAGGCCAGACAGATCTCCCTCACCCAGCGGATCATGTCCTCCTCCTTGTTGCTGACCAGGAAGTACTTGCGCTTGGGGGTAACGATGCCAAAGACGAAGGCCTTGGCCAGGTGGCGTTTGGCCTCAAAGGTCAGTCCCTGGTCCACCTGCTCACAGTCGTTGAGGTTGATGGTGCCCTTGGGTCGATTGGAGCTCTCGTCTTTGTAGTACTGGAGGTAAACGGCACCGGCAGTGCGCCTCAGGACGAACCATCGCCGCAGCCATCTCTGTGGAAAACCAGTATCATTATTATTATTACAACTGTATTATACATATTTCTTGTAATGAAACCAAGGGTTTCTCAAAAGCACCCTTGGCACTGTAGCTCGCCAGCCTGAAGAAACCGGTAGAGAGCAGACAATGAGAAGAAATTGCAGTTTTAGAAGGTAAGAGAAAAGCCAGAAGAATATTCTGGGGAAAATCCACGGAATCAAGTAAGGAACTGAAAACTCAGTCCACATGTGGACCAGGGCAGGAATCGAACTTGGACCACAGCGGTGGAAGGCGAGGAAAGTAACCACTACGCCAACCCGACTCTCCCTACGTTTGGTTAACCTGTCAACATATAAACAAAGACACTGACAAAAAAGGTAACTGTCAACATAGTGCCGGAGCGGCAATCCAGAGGTCGCAGGTTCAAGCCCCGCTCCAGTCAAGTTTCTTTGTTCAACTTTATAAAAAAAATAAAAAATGAAGATGAAATTGTGATAGACAGCATGATTACATTCAAAACTTTGGAATTAGAATTGTGGCTCCCGTTTTCGGAGGAATCAATTCTCTTTAGTAGCAACTTGTGGTTTCTCCAGTGCCTGACAATTTTGTCAAATGACCAACTCCGAATTCCAACAACGAATTCCAAGTTCAAGCAATTCTGGGAATAATTATTTTAAGGAGGTTTTAAATAGCATGTGGCGCATCACAGAGCAAGCTTTGTGTTTTGTGTTACTCCTCTTTGGGATCCAAGTTTAGGTGGTAAAATGTATACCATGTTCGGAAATGCCATTACACGTCTAAAAACAAAAACAAAATGGATCAGTGATTCAATGATAGGTGTTTTTTTTTTTAATAAATCTCTCTCAAATGACGTCACTGCCTACAGATTATCAAGTGCATCAGCATTTCGGGCGTCAAACTTTCGTGACGTGCATCGGCTACACCACATTTCGAAGAAATTTTAAGCAACATGCGCGCGTGTTTAGAACATTTTGCACACTGCGCACACACGAACCCGATGCGCAGTTGTAATTTTCCTACAGAGATGGCGTACTATTGGGGTCTTTTGAGGTTTCCCTTTTTTAACCAAGAAATTATACAAAACAGAATTTGGACTCATACAGCATGTAGAATTAAGTATGTAACATAAAATTATTTATGCAGACTGCAGAATGCAGACAAAGCAATAAAGAGCACGAACCACATTCCACAAGTTGTAAGTTGCATAAAAATTCCAAAGTTAAAAAAAAACATTCTGGAAATGAACTTTGACAGACCTTGTCAGAATGTGCATTTGTCACTGCGTAACACAAGCTGTGATAGTTCATGATTCGAACATTGTTCACATACGTGTAATTCCCATTTTTTTAAGGTGATAATCTAAAAAAAAAATAACAGGAGTGTGAGTGACCACTGATAAAAATGGCTGAAAACAACTGAAAAAGGTGTAAAAAAAGCTGAACTTTGGAAACCTCCTATACTTTCGTACACAGCAAGTGAGTGAAAAAGGCTCAAATCCAAAACAAAAAACGCCAAAATCAGCTTTAAAGCTGAGATTTCACACCCCTGATATAATGTAAAGGAAAAAATGCAATTGAATCTACAAGTCAAGAGAGTCACGTAGCAATTTCTGTACACGTACAGGTGCATGACTTCATGTGCACCTGGAATCGAGTATGGTGTGACATCAAGGAAACGATCTAGTTGTTGACAGGACGGCAAATGCCCTCTTGTCAACTAAAATATGATAGGGAATCAATATGCACAAAATCCTGCCGCGCACGTTTCAGACTTTTGCCCGACACACCAGCTGAAACGACAGAACATACACGTACACGTTGTACATGTACACATCCAGGCTGAACAAACATATCTGCAAAATAAAATTTACTGGTATAACGGAGAGATTCATCTGCTGAAATATTGATTAAAACTGTTCTCTGAACTTGGGCCATTGTCAACATTCCCAGCACGGGTGGAATGTTTACGGGTGAATTCATAGAAAGGCCCGCTGTTAAGATTAGCTACAGAATCAATGTTGGCCATCTGGGGAGTTACTAGGCTAAGATAAAGCTTGCAAACCAAGCAGAAGACTTCTTCTAAAAATGATTTAACATTCTCTGAGTTACAAAAAAATACACTTTGTCAAATTTTGACTTGTACTTTAAACATTAGGTCACATCAGCTGATTATAATGCTCAAACGTTGGCAATGGCAACAGACTCTCTCAGTCTCAGAGATTAAACATTGTACAAAAAGTTCCCATATTGTGCTTCAACTAACTTGTAACATACATGTAGGCCCTACATGCTGCAAAGTGGCCCTTTTGACAATATCTTCTTTTGCGGGGCCTGATTTCATAACTTACGTACACGTACGTACATGTACATGTACATGTAGAACCTGAGTTGTTAGAGAGGGAAAACACTATTAAACAGGTTTCCAGATTTGAATTGCCTATGAAGGGGGTCAGTACGTATTCAAGTTTATCACGTTACAACTGAGATACCTGTCAACCTTCATTGAATCAGAATGGACTGGTACAAGTCCGTACCGGTATATGTATACACACGTGTGCGTACCTTGACAACACCACAGTGGTGACAATAACAAATGGTACATGTAGATGTATGTATGTATAATAACTTAGCGATCTGCATGAACTTGACATACGTGTGTACTGTGGAGAGAATCAACCTGCAGGATTTTGCCCTCCAGAAAACAAATTTGACAAGGAAAAAAAAATGTTGGTCTTATCCTTTGAAAAGACATCGCTTGTTTCTATGATGTGGCATGTACAGAAATTACTATCACAATATTTGGCAGCAATGATATAATATGGGGTACAATTGACAGCAAATTTGGGGTTTAAGAGTGGGACACTAAAGGTAAAACAAAGCAAGATATTTCGATCAAAATATCAATGGCCTGATATTTCAGCCTTAATAGCAAGGCCTTCTTCAGAGGCAAATAACAAATGTTTCTTTGTCATTTGCCTCTGAAGAAGTCCTAGCTTATGCATGATTAGTGATCATATCATCATGATCCATTTGCATTAATCACAATCAGGAACCTACGTGGACCTTCAGTTCATATGGTAAATGTTTTGCTCATCATTTGGACTTCTTGTGCCTGAAACATTATGTCCAAGTTTTACCTAAGCTGAGAACTGCTTTAACCCTAACAGTCCTGAATCCTCCAATTTTAATAAGATTTTGCACATCCCCTAGTGAGTTAGATTAAAGATTTTCTAAATCTATCGCATGATCTGGGCCACACATTTGAGTATCATGACTATCAACAGTAACCATTGATGAATCATTACATCTCTACAAGAAGAAGGGTTGGTTAAAATTCCACTTTTGTTTGTTGGATAAAACATATTTTAAGTGACTCCAAGACATAGTACACGTACCTCAAAGTTCAATGTGCAGTTTCTGCACACATGTATGTTATCCGATGCTCGGAATGCCGAGCATTCCCAGCAAACAGCCCGTCCATGGAGAAAACACTGGTTTCATGTTTACAAGTGAATACACAAGCTTTTCCTTATCAAAACATTTGCTCTGAGTTTCCTTTCACTTTTCATTTCGTCTATTTCTTAAAAGAAATGTGCAATTACTTGCATTGCAAATTTCTACTTGATTATAAACACACCTTTGCAGAGTTTGCAAAACTCATGCAACTTTCCAGGTACATTACGTACAATGCTACAAGGCATATTTTTCTGTTTATTTACTCTGAAGTCATAAAATATGGTCTGGGTTTCCTTTGACCATGATCTGTGGGTACAGGAAATATATCAAATAAATGAAATAAATACTAAAACTTTTCCAGGAGACAAGGATGTTATTTACATCAGATTTTTTACATTTCAAGAAAATGCTCCTGGGATAAACTACTTGCTTTCATGAATTTGGGAAGGGGGGAGGAAGAAGAAAAAAAAAAAGGATCATGTTTAACTAAAGGATTTCCTCTAAACGTCTACAGAGTAAAATTTGCGAAACCTTTAAACTACATTCAAGGAATAAAAGTGATATTTTAAAAGCAGGCTTTCCCAAAATAGATCATTTATGTGTGTCAGTTTTAGGAGCAACATTGAAAATGCTGGTACACGGTAAGGGCATTCACGTGCTGGATTCATTGCATGATAGAACGAAGCTAAAATCACTGTAATTTTCCTTTTGTTAATTTTCTTTTTTGTTATTATACCCTGACCTGTTTAAAGTTTTATATTCATAGATGCTGAAAACCAAGACAGGTACACCCCCCCCCCCCCCTCCCCGGTATGCTGTTCTTGTAGTCTGGTTCCCTGACCCTACTTCAGACAAAATGGGCATTTTTTAGACGTCGGGGAATTGTCAGATCAGGGAACCAGACCAGCTGGCTTGCACCTGTTCACCACTGTGTAACCAATTGCAAACAAAATGTGAACCAACTGAGTTTGGTAAATTGTGGGCAGTATTTGAAAAAAAGGTGTTTTTTCCTACAATGGTCGGCCGATCATTGTTGGAAATTGATACAAACATTCCACTTTTCTTGAAAATGACAGCACAACAGATGCCACGATTTCACAGGATGCTTGAGACTATTATTCACTTAAAGTCAAGTAAGGCATTTCATAATAATTTGGTAGTTTTGTTTTTTGATGTTTGTAAATGTTGTATATATTTATGTACCCTGAATGAATGCAACAGGGACATGTACATGTATGCACACACTGCAACATGTTTTTAATCTGGGCAAGAAACAAAATCTATTTCTGAAGACATGATGAGGTCTCCATGTGCAGTGGTTCCCTTGAAGTTCTCAATCAGCCAACTTCTGAAAAAACAATTCTGAAAATCTCTTGTATAACAAATGCTTTTAATGTACCTTTCATGTACCAGAACATGCACTTTCATCGCTCGAAATAAACCACATTTCTGGAACATGTTTACATGCGACAGACACAGTGGCAAATGAAGATCAACCAGCTATCGTTTTTGAAATTACAAAAGTGTTCCGAAGCTGT